ATATATTCCTGCTCCAGTCTTCATATCCACGGTGTAGGAGCGTCTGTGTTTAAATATAATTTAATTATATTTCAGACGATAACCGTTAGCTTGCTCTGGGTATTTCTATTTTTGGTCTTCCCCGAGCGCATCCTTAATTCCCTTTAAGTGCGAATCTGGGACAGAGGGAGCGAGGCGGATGCAGGTGCGTTACGGATACATTTCTCCTCTGAAAAGCAGACCGAGGAGTTGGATGTGATTAGGCGTTAGAAGAGTATCCAAATGGTAATAAAGCAAACCGGCTTCAAAACAGGTTGGCTGCGAAAAGAAGCTCTGAATTGTCATTTAACTGTCGCGAGACGGTCGAGATAGAGTTGCTCTTGTCTCCTCGATGCTATTTGCCCAGACTGAGTCGGAGGTATTTGCATACCTAACGCTCTGCTCTGTCAACACCAGCGGAGCCTCCCCCCTGGCTCCGACACACGACATATGACAGTGCTCGGGGCACTCCCAGCACGGTTATTGCTCCCTTTTAAAAGGAGCTGGCAGGGTTTGAAGCCTCTTTGGTGTTTGCCAGGTTATTTGCAGCATCAAAACACACCGAACACCCCGTGGAAGGATGCTCAAAGCTTTGGGAGGGGGTTTGGCAATGGGAGCGGGCTGGGGAGCGTGGCCAGGGGCCAAAATAACCTTCCAGTACCCCGGGGGAAGTAAATGGGCTCACTGGGCAGTGGCAGAGACCCGTGATGATGGGGACATGGGGATGGTGTCACCCGTGACAGAAGCAGGGAGGAGTGGCCCCAGGTGCAGACGTGGGAGGCTGAGCAGACAAGGACTTTCTGCAATCCCTGTTCAGGTTTGACCAGTACTTCCATACGACGTGTGGATTTTTCAATAGATGCGGAGCAGCAAAAGGGCAACTTTCCCAAAGGGGCAGGAGGAAACACATGTCTGCTGCCCATAGACTTCTGCTTCCCTTGAGAAATTCTTCTAAAAGCGTTACTGGCTCACCGCAGCCTTCGAGAAGAGCACCGCAAGTTCCTCTTGGGGAGCTTTTTGGAGGAGGGCATGAAGGGCTGGCTCAGAGCAAAGCACTTTGAGGCATGAGGTGGCTGGCTGGGTGCCTGCCTCCTTGCTCCTTCTTCCCTGCCTCCCTTTTCCTTGCACCTGGGCAAGGAAAAGGACTTAAGCAGGGGAAAACCCAAGCTGCTGCTCTGCTCTTCTGCTCCCCACCTAATTAGTTCCCCTGTGCAGTCGTGCAGGTGCCTCTGTGCAAATAACAGCAGCGAGTCTGCTTCTGCAGCCCTGCTTGGGTCACTTCTGGCAGCGCTAAGCCCCACAGCAGTGTTACTTCAGATCCGGCAACGTTAATCAGTTCCATAGCTGACCTTTGGGAGGATGGAGGAAGTGCAGCCGTGCCAGGAGAGGGCTGGAGGGCAAGGGGGAGCGCAGTGCCCTTTCATCCCTCTGCTTTCCTTGGGAAGGGGCCAGCGGTGCCTCCCTGCCTGTCCCAGAGAAGTTGTTTCCCTGTCCGCAGAGCCCACAGGACTTAACCCTGGCAAATGTTTCCTCCTGGCCACAAGTGAAGGCAGGAGAAGCTCCTGCTGCTTAAGGAGGAGCAGGCAGGGAGATACCAGGCTTTTCCTGTGCCCAGTGCCCTGGGTCACAGCCCAAGGCGCTGCTGAGCCCCTCTGGAGGGTGTGGGGGGCTTTGACACAGGACTTTTCTGGCCAAGCTCGGGGAAATCAGAGCCTTTCGATGAGGAGGGGAACAGCCGATAGCTGTGAGTACAGTCAGGGCTGATGCTGGCTGTGCCTGCCTGCAGGGGTTTCCCTGCACGGGGCTGTCAGTGCACCCAGATATGGTTGGGGACGTCCCCTCTGGGGACATACAGCCCCGGCACAGGCAGACTGCAGGAGCCCAATGCTCTGGGCCTGGGGGGAGAGACAGGCAGCTCGGTTGGGTTTTGATTTTAATTGCCTCCTTGATTTTTTCAGCCTGCTTGCCCGCTGTCAGGGGCCGAGCACTGGAAAGCCAGGGCTGTGTCCCCTGCCTGGCCCCACTGACGGGCACCACCAGTCCATTTTCCCAGAAGGGAGTCATGGGGGAAACGGCCAGGAGCAAAGCAGCGAGCTTGGCATGCTCAGGTCATCAGGAGGTGCTGAGGGTCACTCCTTTCTCCAGGTGTTGCCTTTCAACACCAGCATCTCCGGGCTGGAGGTAACAGAGAGGAGGTGACAGCAGCGAGGCACCCCAGGGTTTGCTTCCTGCCCCTCCGTTCCCAAGCTGGATGGTTTGTTTTCTTTGAAATACAGCTTTTCCCTGGGAACAGCCGTAATTGCGGTGTGTGGCTGTGGAGGCACGGTGGGAAGTGCCCGAGGAGATGCCTGTCCCATTGGTGGAAGGCATCCTTGCTGGCTGCTCTGCCTTGTTGCCCCCTCCCTGGGGCCGGCACCGCATCCCCCAGGAGCTGTCTGCCAGGGTTGTTCCCTCCAGGGTGACAGGAGCCATGGCCAGTGCAGCTGGTCCTGCCGTGGTCAGGTGCCTGGCGTTTGTCCAGAGGACCGTGCTCGTTAAAATTAAGGGCCTATTTTGCTGTCGTGGATCCCCTTCTAATTATGCCCCAGCTATTTCATGTGGCTCATTACAGGCGGTTCAAGCAGTGCTGGGCTGGGCTGCTGTCACCTTGTAGCTGGTGAGCCTTGGTGGCAGCAGCCCCATCCCTGGGGAGGACTGGACCCCTGGTGGCCCTTGGACAGGTACAGTATGGGGAGGGGGCACTTAAGGGCTTGGGGCTGGCCCTGGGGTGCTAAATATGGGTTGTCCTGCTGGTTCTCCTCAGCCCAGCACCACCTGCACCAGGATATCAGGCACAGTGCAGGCTGGGGGGAGTGTCACCTCACCTACCCATCCTGTTTGGAGGTGGTGGGAGACCCTACAGGAGGTGTCACCTCCAGGTGCCACTGGGAAGCTGCCAAATTAAAGAACAGAGGCGCTGACAGCAACAGGACAACAAACCACTTGCTGGAGCTGGGACACAAGGTGTCAGAGCAGCATCTCGGTGAGCATGGCGTAGCACTGGGTGATGGGGTCCATGGCTGGCAGTGGGTGCCAGAGGAGCAGGCAGCTTCTGGCACCTTCCTGGTGGTCCCGTGTGAGGGCAATGCCAGTGTAAGCACCTGCCTTCACTGATAGGGGCTGTGCCTGGCGCTGATAACAGTGGGAGTGCAGGGGCCATGGGTACCACCGGGGAAACCCCACGGGCAAGCGTGTCCTGTGCAGGGGTGCAGGGTCCCGCTCTGGCACATGGCATCCATGTAGTACCCCCCACAGCCCCCACAGCCCATATTTCTGTCCTCCTGTCAGTCCCCTGCCCTACGGCAGCCCCCCAGGTGGATGGAGCCCGTCCTCTCCGCCACACTGCCTGCCTGGAGGGGCAGGTGGGGTGCCCACTGTGCCCCACAGAGTGATATGAGGGTTGGGGTACAGCTGTGGCGGCTCCTACTGCTGGTTCCCAGCTGGGAATCACCACACCTCCATCGGCACGAATTGCCAGGCAGCGGGCAAGGCTCTCTGCAGGCAGCGATGCAGAGGTGCTCATCTTTGGGCAACCAGGTGTGCTGGCTCTCCTGGTGCCCAGCACGAATGCAGAGCTCCAGAGTCCTCCCCAGATCCCACCGCCACCTCACCCTGGGGTGGGACTGCCCCTCCCCACCACCACGTGTGTCCCCCCTCCTCGCCCCAGCCCTGCCTGCTGCCCCCAGCCCTCCCAGGCAGCTCCGCACCTACTTGTGCCTCTTTATTAGGGAGCGTTTGTACATTTATAAAACAGTGACGCGCATCTCTCAACTTCACCAGCACGAGGGCGTTTGTGCTGGCCCTCCCGCCACGGTGCCCGTGCCCACCCCGGCTCAGGGCTCGCTGCTCCCGCTTGCAGGGAGGGGGCCACATCCTTCACCCCACCACCTGCCTCAGGAGATCTTGGTGTAAGGCTGGCACGGCATGGCATGTCCCCGGGCTAATGTGTGGCACCCCTCTGGGGACATCCCTGCGTGGTCCTGGGTGTTGGGTGCAGGGGGACCCTGTGGGGAGCTGGCATGGGGTGCTCTGGAGGGTCTCCATGGGGAGCAGCACTGTGCCTGCCCTGCTGGGGTGCTTGCTGTGCCCCCCCCTTGCAGGGGACACCATGCAACCAGGTAGTTGCACCAATGCAGAACATATTTCCGCATGGGTGCATATTCTGGGGGGCTGTTGGGCTGCGTGTACCCAGAGCCAGGGCTGCCAAGCATGTCACCAGGCTGGTGCTCTGGTCCCTGCCCTGTGTGTCCCATGTGGGGGCCTGAAAGGATGATGGCTCCTCCTGCATCTATGGCTTTGGCTGCGGCGCAGCGTGGCCATCTTCCGTCTGCTGGGACCAAGGGTGGGCACCAAACCAGCAGGGCCAGGGGCCGCCTGGCTCACCCTCAGCCTCCCCCAGAGGTCCCAAATTGCTGCCCCGGGGTCCCCCTCTGCTGTGCGTGTGTGTTGAGGGGGGCTTTGCCAGCCTGCCCCCCCCCTCCTGAGATATTTTTGGGGCGTTTTGCCCTGCGCTGGTGTCTGCTACAGTGGAGGGGGAGGAGGCAATGTTGGACGGGACAGGGGGGAGCGCCGTGGGTCCTGCCGTGCCTCCTGCCATCTTGGGGCAGGCAGGAGGGCTGTGGGTGCCGGTGCTGGCTGAGGGTCCGGCCGGTGGGTCGGGCTGTGGCTGTCCGGGCGGTGCTGGGCATGGGGCAACCCTCCTAACTGTGTACAGTCTGGGGGAGGCACAGCGGGTGCTCAGCACCCGGGGGGGTTGTGGGGGGAGGAAG